CAAAATAAGTGCCCGCCCTTTGCCGCCTCGGCCACCGTCCCCTGGGTTGCTCCGGCGAGAAAAGGCAGCTTACGAGTCGTCGCAACAAAACACAAAGTCTATTTTCGTTCTCGCCCAACCCACTTGTGTCCACAGATCGCAGGAGTTGTTTACTCACCCTGCCAAAAAGGAGGAGGTCTGAGCTCAACGGCCGGTTCGAGCGTCATCTGATATAGCGCGGGGTGTTCGCTCGAGTTCCTGCAGAGGGACTAAAATCGGTTCCCTTCACCTGTACTCATACCGAAGGGGCCGTTGAAGGGTTCCTGAATTTATACCTTTTCCCCTTCTTTTCAACTCATTTCCTTCATAGCATCAGCACGAGGAGCAAGCGAGAACAGCAGAAAGAGAGCGGGACCTCAAGGAAGCCAAAGGACCATGGGTCCGACACACGACCACACCATGATCGCCAACCAATCTCGATGGACAGTACTCAGGAATGGCTCCTCTCGCCGGTCTAAAGTACTCCTCGGCGCCTTCTTCATCTTCCTATTGTCCGCGATTTTTGTACTGCAGCCACACTGGCACGTTGCCAGCTCCGGATTACCAGTGCCTAGCTTACACCGACCTACGCCAGAGTCTACACCGAAGGCGCCGGCCGGGGGCGATGGTGGCGATAACGGCGCCGGCTCACGTATAGCCGTTCTGACGCCGGACGCTGACGGGGTCCTGTTGTCTGCGGGAACGCCCATTTTCACATCGCCTAGCGGCCGTCACGCTCTCGTTCTGCAGGATGATGGCGACCTGGTTCTCAACAGGGTTGACGATGACGGCAGCTCTCATGCCGTGTGGTGGACCGCGACAGGTGATTTGCACAAGGGCGGGCGCACAGTCATTCTTGAGAATAAACAGGGCCATGTTCGTATCGTGCTAAACGCCATGCTGAAGAATACGTGGACAACAGTTTGGCATAGCGACCTCGAACCGGCCTGCAAGAAGACACAGGGTGGCATTATGGGGCGTAGCGAGGACGACGGGTCGCAAACAAACGCTAAATCGAAGAGAGGCTCTGGTCAGCTTGAGCTGTCAGATACGGGGAGACTCGCGATTCCTGGGCTATGCGATTTGTACGTGCCACCGAGTGAGCGCGAAAAGGAGCGCAGCCTGGCTGTTATCATTGCCGGCCTGTACAGGACCAACCACGTTACCTGCAAGACGCACATGTCGGAACTCATCGCCGACCACCCGGCTTTCTCGAGGATCGACGTCTTCGCGTACATGCTCTACGAGCCTGGTGACGTAGATGTGTTCAATCGAACCAAGGAATCCATCGAAGCGAACCTAAGGGAGTGCTACGGCTCGCACTTGCGATCGGTCGACGTTTTGCCTGTGAGCGAGACTGAGGTGGAATACCCCGGCGGCACGGAGGCGATGGCGGCGACGCCGTGTGGAGAAAGACTGGGCAGATTGAACAATCAGCTGAGAACTGTATCGCTGGCGGCGGAGCGGTGGTGGGCTTGGAGTGTCACCAATGGATACACCCATGATACGGTATTGCGGATTCGGCCGGATACGTCGTTATGGGCGAGACCACAATTCAAGACGCTGGAGGAGCTGGGCCCAAACACACTTATTCTGCCACATCCTCGAGGTGAACACTACTTCTACTGTGCCCGTATGAGCGGACGCGTCGGTGTCGGTATGTGAATATCAGCGAGATGCCTGGATCGATGTAACATGACAGCTGACTTGATACTCGAATAGGACCAACCGATCAAATCGCGTACGGAAGCGCGGCGGCCATGGGCCACTGGCTCTACATGTACGATCGGTTCCAACAGATGGTCGACCTTGCAGCAACTCCCTCTCGACCGGCGCTCCGTGACTTCTCGGGATGCGAGGTGATGCCGTCGGGTCCCCTAGCAAGCGACTGCCCAACGCCGGCGCCTTGCTCAATAGAGTGTCTCGTGGCATGGTTTCTCGAGGCTCGCAGCGTGGACTTTCACATCGAGTGGGGATGGGAACAGAACCCTCTGAGGTGGAAGGATATTGGCCAACTTGGCGCAGAGGAAGAGAGGCTGGCCGATCACGACGACGAGGACGATGGGATGACGTGGGGATGAAGTTGAATGAGGCGAGGTTGGAGGAGAGGTGGCGCATCTTTCTTTTGTCTCTTTGATTTCTGGAAAGCGTGGTGTTTGGGTGATTTGTCAAGGTCTTGGGATGCAAGTGCCTGATTAGAGACATGTAAGTGAAGGAAGGAGTGGCGGATGGGTTCTTACCTACTTAACTTATGCATGTGACTTGGGGGTTTCCTGGTGTCAAGAGTTGGAAAGAACAACCCGGAAGCGGGAGGGACCGCCATAGCATAGGTAACCTACCTTACGGCAGGGCTCGACAAGAGCAAAGCTCAACTTCAAAATGAAACAAGTTGAAAAGGAAGCATTGGACAATTAGAGTCGACTCGTGAAACGTGTTTGTATCCCAAGTGAGCGGCTCAAGTCGATGATCTTGTGGGCTCCCTTACGACTACCATGAGCCGGAGCAATTGCAGCTGAGACGCGACAAACCAGAATCCTCTATGTTTGTCATGACACTTGGCGGTGACAACTCTTCAGCGTCAATCCTGCAATCATCGATTTGAGGGTTGTGAGATGAAGTTGAAGGAGCAAGTGAGATCTGTCGACAGGGGTTGAAGACATCCAGGTGGTTCGGTTACCTCGAGGATCGGGCGGGGTAGATGGAATGTGGGTCGCTCTGTCTCTTCCTCCCGTCTTCCTCTTGCCTTTTTCGGACAACACCGAAGCCAACCTCATTTACGACGACCTCGCGATTTCCTTTTTCATCTACCTAAGGTAGCTTCATGTTCTTAACCATAGTAGTAGGTTATTGTTCACCATTCATGTAATCATCAAATCGTTGTTGAATTTCAAAAACAGAAATGTTGAGGGTCTCTAATGATTCAGTCGTAATGGTTCAAAGTAGAGGTCTAAAATCACACCTGATTTTCATACCGTTTGCATATTTGGCACGTGAAATATTGTGCAGAGAATAAAACGCAGGGAATGGACTCGTTCAATGCCAATATTTCTGAGCATTGAAATCCTTGTTTGATCGCACCGCGTTAATCGGACCGTGGTCTTGATCATTCGCAGGGATTTGCATCCGCCTTTTACACAGCAAAGGGGCCGACCCAATGACATGGGGTTGGGATGTGTCTCCTTCTGTCATCCGCTGATGGGCGGTGTCATTGAGCCCCTAGTCATCTTGACGTTCTTGGCGCGTGAAACAACAGATGTCCGACGCCTCAGAGATGAATGCTACGAAGACGCGACACGTGCCAACATTGTATCCTTAGCATAGCAAGAGAGAGGTTGCCAACTGCCTTTAGTATTGCCGAGCGTCATTGATCAAGCTCAGCTAACAAGAATTGGCAAGAGCACGTTTGATGAGAGGTGTGGTGAAAGTTGGCCTGGGAGGGTGTGAAAAGAACTTTGGTGCTGGTAGCTCACCAAAGTCCCAAAATATTCTGGATGGTGTGCCGCCTCTCTGCAGCCACTAATTTCCCATCTTCCACCGTTCGGCCGGTAAGGCGCGAGCCACGGTCCACCAAGAGGGATAAATCGTGATTCCACGGGGAAACTCGAGCTAGTAGTCTAACAGCTAGCTGAAGTGTAGCTGAGTCTACGGCGTTCCCCTTTTCTGGACCCAAAAGTCTCTGTATTTGGGGCCAAAAAAGATCTTGCCTTCATCACGTGTCGGTGACTTCATGTAAGTGATCTCGCCCAATCCTATCACATACAAATCCAAAGTTTCACAAACCGTCGCGCCTTCTTCGGGGAAATCCACAGATGTGTCCGCATAGGTACTGTCTTTGGGAGCTTGGCCTCAACTCGACTGGATTCTCTGAAGTAATTAGTGTGCCAGGCTGGAGTGACCGAGTGCTTGCAGGAAACAGGCAGCAAGACTACCACGGCACCTGTTACCTCGAGACCCAGTTTAGCGGGATATTTCTCTCATGATCTCTCCACCTACTGGGCTGAGGATACAGCTAGTGAAAAGACGGCTTCAAGACCGGAACGACGGCCAGCTTCTGTCGTCGATGCAACCAAAGCCCAACGCCAATGGCCCAGAGCTGTGGGTTGCAGGTCCAACCGTGGTTGAAGCGTGGTTGAAGTCTGCATTGGCGCCGCTGACAGGCAGTAGTTCCACCTAATTCAGGGGACACAGCGAATCAAACACGAGAAATGACCCCTATTCACACGTCGCTTGGTCGACGCTAGTCCTGTTCCTGTCCCTTCAGCAGCTTCATTGGAACCGGCTGCCTTTGTCGCGCGCTGGGCAGCGAGAGCCACCACGCCTGGACCGCCGCCCGAGAAGGCGCCCACTGTAGAAACGCTTGCCTATTTGGGCAGTGGTGCTTCCGGTGTGTGCCCACAGCCGCCCACTTTTTGGACCTCGTCTCTTCCATCGTCACAACTTCAACTCCGCTCACCACCACGCCGTCGCCCGCATTGCCTGCACACCCACCCACTAACACACACACATCCCACATCGTCGCCGTTGCGGTTTCTGCGCCGCTCATGGGCGTCAATGCTTATTCGTACCTCTTGAGTAGTCCTCACGAGGGGGGAAATTGGTCCCCGGCACCCCTCACTATGGCTTACACCCACAACTCGATTTGCCTCTGGGCAATTTTCTTCAACCGTCTCTCAATGTAGTTAGTCGCTACATCGTTGCGCCGCTTCGTGGGGAGCGGTAATGGTTCACTTATGAATGGGAGTCTTCTCCTGCAGTTCCATGTAATCTCTCTTTTCTCTCTTTCCTGATTTCCTCATTCCATCTCTGTTCCTGTCGAGAAGCTAGAGACGACGGTGTGTCTTCACCATCTTGCAAACATTCGTGTTTGCGTCCTTTCTTTGATCTTAGATCACGTCTACACTCTTTCCACGGCCTCGGCCACCTTACAATCGTTGCGAGCCACGTACAAAAACGCCTAGTTGTCTAATACCACTACAACAAATATGCTCTTCAGCAAGTCATTCATTGCCGCCGCCGCGGCCATCAGCCCGGCTCTGGCCCATTCTTCTTCACAGACAACCACAAGTGCCTCGCCACTTCTCGGACTCAACCTTTACTGGGGACAGTATGGTCAGCCTACCGACCGCCTCTCAAGCTATTGTGATGCTCCGGGCGTCACCTCCGTCTCTCTATCCTTCGTCACATACTCCCCCAAGAACAGCGCTGGATACCCCGGTACCAACTTCGCCGGCCACTGCGGCGGCGAGGTCTACTACAAGAACCCCAAGACTGGCGAAGACACAAAGTTGATTATGAACTGCGACTACGTCAAGAAGGATATTCAGTACTGCCAAGCCAAGGGCATTAAGGTTCTCCTGGCCATTGGTGGCTACTGCCCTACCGGAGGCCCCTGCAGCTACGACATTGACAGTGAGCAGGACGGTCACGAATTCGGTGACTTGTTGCACAAGACTTTCGGTCCTTACGATCAGGGATGGAACGGTCCTCGTCCTTTTGATATTAACGAGACCGAACACATTGCTGTTGACGGTTTCGACTTTGACCTTGAGTTCAAGTATCGTATGTTGATATGCTTGCCCCCTTTCTATGATGGATAATGATACTGACTTGAACGATAGCCAACCAGAAGCCCTGGATCAAGATGGTTGAGAAGCTTCGCAGCTGCGGTATTTACCACATTTCTGCTGCTCCTCAGTGCCCGACGTCAGACAACTGGTTCCAGCTCAAGGAGCTCATCTACAACGCCCAGTTCGACTCCCTGTTCATTCAGTTCTATAACAACCCGGGTTGCCAAATCACCGACACCCCCAACTACGACGACTGGGAGACGGTCATTTCTCAGACTTCCAAGAGCAAGGACGCGAAGCTCTACATTGGTGTCCTCGCCAGCGTCGAGTCCGGCTGGAACGGTTATGCTCCTCCTTCCACAATCAAGGACTTGATCTGCAAGTACCAGAGCAAGCCGCACTTTGGAGGTGTTTCTATCTGGGATGCTACCCGTGGCGCCATCAATCAGATCAATGGTCAGTCGTTCCACGAGGCAATCGCCGATGCTCTCAAGTACGGTTGCAACCCCATCCCTGCCAAGACTTCCACCATCAGCATCTCGACTTCGACTTCGTCCGTCATTTCTTCCACCAGCACCTCGTCTGCGATCGCTTCCATCACTTCGGCAACCTCTAGCTCCAGCGCCGCGTCCTCGAGCTCTAGCCAGTCCGCCTCGGCATCCGTTTCTGCCTCTGCCTCTGCCTCGGACTCGGCTACCGCATCGGCCACTGGCTCAGCATCAGTGTCTGGCTCAGCATCTGGATCAGCATCAGCATCAGCGTCGGCATCGGCATCGGCATCTGGCTCGGGATCTGCTTCGGCATCCGCTTCTAACTCAGCGTCTGCTTCTGTATCCGCATCATCCTCCGCCTCCGCCTCCGCCTCAGCCTCAGCTTCACTCACCTTCTTTGGCAACTCTTCGGCGTCTGCCACTGGGTCTTCTTCGTCGCGAATCATCACAACATTGAGCTCCAATGCCACTGCCACTGCTAGCGCTTCTGCGACCAAGTCTGCTACTGTCTCAGACACTTGCGATGAGGACGACGAGGACTTCCCGACCACCACGATGGGCAACTCCCACACTGCCACTGCTACTGCCACCGGCTCAGCAGATGCAACCAAGACTGCCTCTGGCAGTGTCACCGACAAGGCCACTGGTCCTGCCACTGGTTCTGCTACAGGACCTGCCCAAAACTCCTTGACGGTGTCCATCTCAGACAAGCCCACTGGCACCAAATCAGCTACCGAGTCTCCCAAGAACACAGTCAGTGTCCCCGAGCAGCTGACCACAAGCACGGTTTTCACCACAAAGATCACCACCGTCACTTCCTGCAAGCCCGATGTGCCCTGCACCAAGGGCCAGGTCGTCACTGAGACCATCCCGTGGTACACCACTGTCTGCCCCGTCACGGCAACGTCGTCCGCCGTTGCGGTGCCTACAATCAGCCCCCCTTCCCAGTGGGTTACCAGCACAGTCTACACCACAAAGACCTACACCATCACATCTTGCGCTCCCGATGTGCCAAACTGCCCTGTCGGTCAAGTCACGACCAAGGTCGTTCCTGCCTACACCACTGTCTGTCCGTACACCGAGACGACACTTGGCAGCACTAAGCCTTCAGGCGACCTTCCCAACCCTCCTAAGCCCTCTGGCGACGTTCCTCAGCCCCCTAAGCCCACCGGTGATGTTCCCAAGCCTACCGGTGGCCAAGAAGGAAACAAGCCCTCTGGCGGCATTCCTCAGCCTCCTAAGTCTACTGGTGATGCGCCCCAGCCCACTGGTAGCCAGGGAGGAAACAAGCCTTCTGGCGATGTGCCCCAGCCTCCTAAGCCCACTGGAGGCCAAGGTGGCAGCAAGCCTTCTGGGGATATTTCGCCCCCCAAGCCTACCGCAACTCCTGTTGTCCCCGGCAAAGAGGATGACTCGACGACTTTCATCTACAAGACTCTGACTGTCCCCATCACGATTGGCAAATACAACTCCACACTCGCGGGTACCGGCTCCAACTACAAGCCCACCTCCACTGGCGGGTTCCCTAGCTACACAACGGCCGCTGCCGTCCCCAGCAAGCCTGTCCAGGCTGGAGCTGCCAAGATTGGAGCTTTCGGACTCGGTGGCTTCGTCGCTCTTGCCGTTGCCCTTCTGCTCTAATGCGTATAAGGAATTGATGATTGGTTACCGCGGATATGGCATTTATTTCTTTGATTCTGTTCACGAGATGTATAAACATGACTAATATTTCCTTTGTATATGGTGCTGAAATCGAGGCATGTAAAGCAAGCCTCGGTGTACAGAGCCTCGTGAAAAAAACGTTTGGCGCATTGCATGCCAGAGCATATAGTTGAGAAAACATGTTGTATGTATATGCAAACAATGCAGTCAGCCCATTGCTGGGATTTGTTATCTGTTCCTTGAACAACCTGATGTTTGACTTTTGAGTGTCGCCTATGCGCTTTTAACATCAAGGTTTCTTTTTCAGTCGTTCGGCCGAATCGGCCTGCCTGGGCTGAACGGGAGCGACATGGAAATTTGACAACGGGCTTGCCTGCTGGGTTCCGGCCCGGTTCCTAAAGAGCCGCTCGGCAGAGATTGCGCGCGCCGTTTCCAGGAAATATCTCAGCGAGTGGTGATCGTGGTCAATCAGTCCCCGATATGGTTGGTGTATGGAGCTGGACTAAGGTAGTTCTTCAGCTCTTGTGTGTGGCTCAAACAACGGGCGCCACAGGCACCCGGCGACCGTCTGTCCTTTTTTTTATACCATATAGGTATCCGTCCAAGGGTAGTAAGCTCGAATCAAGACACACACATTTTACCTTGGTAACCTTACCACCTTGCTGTGTACTAACCTTACGGCTTTGCCCCTCCGCATCCCACTGTGTTCCCCCAAAAAGGGACCAGAAGGGGTGTCATCATCGGGTGGCATTAAAAGGGTATTAGGGTGTGTCGCCTAATTAAGTCCGTTTCCATGGACAGACCAGGTACTATCTAGACTCGCCGGGGGACAAAAAATGATATGATTGGCTGGAAGCTCGCGGGTGGGATAGGGGGGCCGCAAGCCTGTGGTTTCGTCACCCCCCAATTCCAAGGACGGGAACGTCATTTCTGGATTTCTGGATTGCTGCAGGGAACCCGGAAAGGGAGAGTGCCGTCCGAGCAGTGAGCACTGAGAGGGGGAAGCAAAATGAGGGGCACCACAGCAGGCCAAGGGCTGATTTGCGATGACCATGTTGCACAAAGTCACACTAGGCGCTTTTCTGGATAGTCGTCGAGGTTCTATCGTGTTCATCAATGGGGCTATGCTGGAATAGCGTCGGTACCTTGGTTGTTTGAGTTCTTTATTACAACCTGAGCTGGTGACCTTACTGTGTATGTACCTTGGGCGCAGATTCCGTGACGAGGACTCGAGGGAAGATAGAGAGAGATACCTTAGGTAGTCTGTATCCCGAACAGTCGAGAAGAAAGAAAGAAAGAAGAAAGACCATCATCTACCCATCCATCCCGTCCAACCAACCATCCTACCTTGCTTCTACACACTACACTACATTACCTACTCCGGACACTACACCCTCAGCTCGCTTTCGTTCTCGTGCGACTTGCAGAAAACTTGGCAGCAGCAACAACAACACCACCATCATCCTCGCTCACGAACGACAGCGGCTTCCTACCTCACGTTGGATTCTTCTCTTTCGTGGGATAATTCGCGCCCCGTTGGTTCCAACCACGCCGCTCATCTCGATACCTATCTCTAGGAAGTCATTATCGGATATTCATCACAGCATCCACAGCTTTACTCTACGCATTATTCAACCCACCCCACCATTGTCTGTGGTTTGTCTGTTGTCGCCGACCAAAGCGTCTCACATTCCCCCAACCGAACCGACGTCCAGTCCCTCATTCAGCATCCTCCACCAATTCTCCTCCTCCTCCTCCTCATCCAAACCCCCGCCGACCTATCAGCAGGTCCGAGTACCCAGTATTCCTGCAAGCATAAGCCATAAACTGCCTTGCCTTTCTTCACCCATTCTTTACCTTTGCTACGGGGTGCGGCATACGTGTAGCAAGCCGGTCCCTTGTGCTCGACCACCGGCTGCTCCATTCTTTACCTTACATTACCTCCCCACGACAGACGGAGTACGGGATCCAGCACACGCTCATATAAACTCAGACTATCTTACGAGGAAGTGGGGAGCCCAAAGCAACCTTGCCTGGCCCGCGTTCCAGAGGTGTCCATAATAGCATCCTTTTACGGATACAGTTGCTCTCCAGCCAGGTGCGTGTGTGAGTGAAGCCGAGCTTCCTCACTGCCTCTGTAACATGTCGGACGCTGGCGATAGGTACGTGATGATCCACCTCAATCTGCTCCCGTCTTCTCCACGCCTGTGGCATTCCAGCTGCTTTGCACACAACCACAACCTCCCTTCCCTCCCGTCATCATCCTTCCGTTCCCACTGCACCTGTCATCGGGGCCGACAGACACCTCAGCAGCAGCAAGGCGTCTGCCCATACACTTTCCCAGGGCGGCCCGCAACAGCAAGCGACAGAAGCAAGCAGCGGGCACCAGCAACAGCACCTTCCACATCCCAACCTTGGCGGCAGCAAAGCTAACCCTGTCTTGATTCTCCAGCACCCACAAGCGGTCAAAGTCGGCCGCTGCCCTCTCACTCCTCCGACGAAACCACTCCCGCAGCGAAGAAGATCCATCCACCACGGATGACGGTGCGCCGCTGACGTCGCCACCTTCTACAGCGGCTTCCGCGACAAACATATCCATGGCTCAAAACATCCCCCGCGGCAACGGGGCCAACAGGCTCTCCATCTCCCCTTCTATGGGCCGAACCCCTTCCCACAACAGCCCCCCCTCCGCAACCGCCTCTACATCCGCATCCAAGATGAGCGTTGCAGGTAGCGAAAAGGGCGTCTCCCTCGAGCAGTCTGTTCGCAAGTTTCGCATCGTCGAGGCCCTGCGAAGCGGCGACACTGCTTCTATTTCCAGGGCCATCAGGGATACCGCCGAGGGCGGGCCCCGCACGAGCATCTCCTCCATCAATACCCTCAGCGGCACCGGTCTCGACGACACCACCGTGCTTCACCTTGCGATTCAATGCGCCGAGTATCCCGTTGTCGAGTACGTCCTATCTGACGGCGCCGGAACCATCGATATCAACGCCAGAGACAAGGACGGCAATACCCCGCTCCACGTAGCTGCTGTCCAGGGTCGGACCCAGGTCGTCAAGCTCTTGCTCGACCAGAAGGAGATCAACGATGCCGTCGCCAACTACCAGGGCCGACTACCCATCGACGTCGCTCGAAACCCCGATATCTTCCAGCTTCTACAGCTGTCGCGGTCCATCTTTGCCGAAAACAAGGTTAGACAGATCCAGGGTCTGATTGCGCAGAACGACTACAAGGCTCTTGAGACTGTATTGGAGGAGTCTCGTCTCAAGCAGATTCTCGACATCAACAGCACCGAATTCGTCACCGAACCTACGACCCTCCAGGCCGGCGGAAACCTTCTCCACGAGGCCGCCCGCAAGAAGAATACCCAGCTCATCCAGGTCCTTCTGCTCCACGGAGCCGATCCCTTCCGTCGGGACCGCAAGGGCAAGCTCCCGCAGGATGTGACAAAGGATGATACCACACGCGCCATGCTCAAGCGATCCCCCGCTGCCGTCGCGGCTCAGAGAGGCATCCAGGAGAAAGCCGTTCTCGGCCAGGCGGCTTCACAGGGCGCTGGGGCCGCGGCCTCTGCCGACCCCGTGGCTGGAAAGGAGGCGCGAGAGATGAAGGGCTACCTGAAGAAGTGGACCAACTACCGCAAGGGATACCAGCTTCGATGGTTCGTTCTCGAGGACGGCGTCCTGAGCTACTACAAGCATCAAGACGATGCTGGCTCCGCTTGCCGTGGTGCCATCAACACGCGCATTGCCAAGCTGCATATGAGCGCCGACGAGAAGACCAAGTTTGAGATTATCGGCAAGTCTTCTGTCAAGTACACCCTCAAGGCCAACCACGAGGTCGAGGCGAAGCGTTGGTTCTGGGCCCTCAACAACTCTATTCAGTGGACAAAGGACCAGGCAAAGGAAGAAGAGCGCCAGCGCGCTCGCGGCGCCGAGCTTCTAAGGCAGGCAAAGGCAGAGCAATCTGGAAAGTCCCCAGAGCTGTCCATCAATGAGGCTCAGAGCGAGAGTGCGAGCGTAGCCGATGGAAGAAGCAGTGTGCAGATCCCCAGGACTATGTCGCACAGCAAGATGTCCGTCCCCAGAAGCGACTTTGCTGGCGCGAGCACCGTCGCTAGCAACGATGACGACTTTGCCGATGCCGCGACAGATGCGGGTCAATCTCGTGTAACAAGAGGACACCACGGACCGGACGATGACGATGATGATGACGACTTTGAGGATGTCAGTAGCCGTGAAGAGCCCTCTGTCAGTAAGGACGCTTTCAGCATCACAGCTCAGTCGGCCAAGCTACAGCTGGATACCATTTCTGCTGTCAACGCTGCGATGCTTTCCGAGGCCTCCAAGAACCCGAACACGATCGTCTCCGACACCAAGGTCACTCAGGCTCTCACAACCTACGATGCAGCCGTCAGGAGTCTGACGGGACTCATCGGAGACTTGATGAGGATTTCAAAGGATCGCGATGCCTACTGGCAGTACCGGCTGGACCGCGAAATCGACATGCGCCGCATGTGGGAGGAGAGTATGGCCAAAGTTGCCAAGGAGCAAGAGATCCTGGAGGAGCGTGTCGACCAGGCTGAGCAGAAGCGCAAGGCTGCCAAGCGTGCGCTCCGCGAAGTTATGAACGAGCAGCCAACAGCCGCCAGCCAGGATCTCGAGGGTGACAGGAAGGTGGATGGCACTGCAACTGTCGAGGCTGCCGTCGGTGCCGACGATACGAATATCGCAGCCCCGCCAGCGGCGCCCGAGCGGACCTTGACAAGGAAGAAGACGGTTCTCGATTCGCTTGAGCTGTCTGACTCAGAGTCGGATGATGAGGATGAGTTCTTTGATGCAGTTGATGCTGGAGAGGTTGAGGTCAGCCACTTGCCTCATGCTGATGCGGTGCCAACTCCCCATGAGGAGAAGGAGGAGCAGCAACTCGTCGTTTCTGGTGGCACGGATCTCAGCAGCTCCTTCAAGGGCTACGAA